TTAAGTGAAGAGCTGACTGCCGGCCTCTGGTAAGTATGAACTTAGTGTTTCCTCTCCCTCTGCCTCTAATGTGCTGTGTGGCCAGGACTGTAGTGCAGAAGAAGGGAGAACCAGCAGTAGCAGCAGGGATGTGAGCAGGATCCAAACGCTTTGCTGCTGCCCCCTCCTTGACCTCCACCAAAGCCAGCCACCAGTGCAGTGCCTGAGCCATTGCTGCTGCTCTGTAGGAAGCACAGACATCCTATGAAACACTCTGAAAAGAGGTTGCAATTATATTTATACCTCCCAGGGGTGCAATGGAATTTTTAAAGTTTAGGGCTGAAAAGACTTTGTAACAGGTGTCAAATTTAGTGTCAGCATGCAGCTCCTCATGAACTAAATGACACATCCTCCTCAAACTCTCCTAGTAAATTTGGCAGTTCCTATTACTATAGCCCCTGTCATTACCTTGAAAGAAAAATATATACTGAGAGAAAACCGACACTCTGCCTGGATGCTGCTGGTGCTCAGAAGGTTAAGTCTCAGTGGCAAACAAAAGGGGACAGCAATCTACCTGGGCATATCAACTGGCTGCGTAACAGCATGGCCAGACATGTTTCTTAAGATCTGCAACATGTGAATGAAGTCATCAGGATGCTATGATAGGTCCATCATTCAGATGTTACCCACATTATTTTCTATATTGTTGTGCTACAGCCACATGTCTATTTTCAGGATGGACTTGAAGCACCTGTTTTCAGAGAGGGCATTAGTCAGAGACTCGTCACAGACTGGACAGTGAGACCCCAGCTGGTCACTCTGCCATGCCAATACAGCAAGAAGCCAATCTCATTCTGCATTCAGACCACTCACTGCTGCTCATGTCTTTGTTTTGGCCTAGAAGAGATTTTCTGCATGTGAAGAAGAAAGGTCCGAAAGACCAGTTTCTTTACAGTGTTTCAGTTTGTTACCCTTCTTCACTAAACTGTACCTGTACAAAATGTTTTTTGAAGGCATACTGACATTGCACTTTGAAAGTTATAACTTTTTTCATCAAAAACATCTTGTTCATCCCCAAAATGTTAGATTTCCTTGAGTCTAATTTCCTTGATTTTCCTTGGAAAGAATAATCGTGTACAGGGTTTAATCTTCTGTAATATGGCTAGAATTAATTTTTTTAAAGCCCAGCAGATGTATAGGAGTTTCTAAGTGATGTGCATTTTGCCACATGCTCCACTAATATTTCACTATACCCAAACTTGCATTTGAAAGAATAATTCTGATTTTAAACCGCATCACTTCAAATATGTGGGAGCACTCACTCTTCTCTCTAAAGGGCATCACCTTACACTTGTGAAATTATAAGCACAATATGAACCAATGCAAGCAAATGTACTTCAATGTCAGCACATTCTTGAACCATACTTGCTTAAGTGTATAAATTTAAAACCAGGTGTATATTGAACCTTTTTGTGTTAATGTAGCTGTAGCCTAATATAAGCATTTTCACTTTATGGTTCCTTGGTAACTGGAGGATCACTCCATACTGTTAGGACTGCATCCCATGCAAATACATGGGCACTAGCCAGTAGCAGCACTTTGAGGCTGAGAGCAGGGTGGCTGTCAGCACCGGCTCTTCAGCATGCTTAGGGCACCACATCTTGGGTTCTTCTTCAGTGCAGTGGGTACCAGACAACCAGGAGGTCATCAGCAGTGGTCCCACATCCCAAACACAGGTACATGGCCACAGGACCATCACCATGGCTTTGGTTCTCACCACATTCTCGGTTGTTCCAGGCTTCTTTTTAGCACAACTCAGACTGCCTGTGGTATAAAGGGGCACGCAATCACCACGAGTTACGAGAGGAAATTTCATCAGACAATTTAATTTTTGCAAGGTCCTGGATGTGTTTTGATGGCACCCCAGCATTTCAAACTGATCACAGGTTTAATACCTTTCTTAAGTAGACTGACGATGGGTAAACTCCCATAGAGACTCAAATACTTAACAGAGGTGTTGAATATCATTGCAGTCCCCAAAGGCAACAGCATTTTGCATGTGTTAATCCCCTGGAGAAAACATAGCAGACATCCCAAACCTAAAAGTGTTTCTGGAAACCCCAAATGCCTAAACAACTTCACCACGGTGTTATCCTAACTACAACTCACAGCCCATGGCATTGCAGAGACGTGGTTTGTGTTTACACCTCTTTATCGCTTTTCCTGATTCTCTGGGTATTGCCTGAATGTTCGGAAAAGGTAATGAAAAGCCCTAAGCTCATGCCTATACTTCCTGCACTGAGACCAAAATCTCCAGTAAGCTTGCCAGACCTTTTAAGCGGCCCCCTAGGGATTTAATACTGTACAGCTTATGGGTTTATATGAAATTTCATAAAAGAGAAGCCCTGTATTTTCACATAAATATATTTATTTTGGGAAAGATCAAGAAATGCCAATATATTTCAAACCAACTCCCTGCTGCATTAAAGAATGTGAAATATTCATGTGAACATTTGCGAATCCTATACAGTGAAATCTATTTCCCTCTCTATTTAGCATGCAGGCTGCAGCAGCTGAAGGTTGCTCAGCTTTTTCATTAGGAAGAAAAGTAAGGATGATTTGTGAAAACCACATGGAAGTAATCATAAGGAATGGTACTGAAGGGTTTTTCAAACAAAATCTTGTAAGCTACCTTGTAAGCATGCTCTTTCATGTGTTCATTTCTTATATGGCATTTCACAGCTTCAGACTGTAAATATTTATGGACGTAATTAGAAGTGCGATATAATATGCTTTCATAATATAGAAATAAAGATTTAATGGCCAGCACACACATTTTCAGAATATATATCTCAGGCTCTCTAAAGTCTCCCATAAGTAGCATCACTCCAAGCAAATTTCAGTTTCTTTGTTCAACCATTACTCTTGATAATGTTATGAGTTACTTTCTCATCAGTGCTAAGTTTTGCCTACAGACCCTGCTGTGGCCCACTATCTCACAAATAACCTCTTTCTTTATCCACCTGAACTCTGATAACTATAGCAGGAAATGGAAAATGAGGAAATCTAAGTGACTATGATCCCCAATTTCACCAGGGAAAACACCTAGCCTTGGGAATTCATTTAAGTCTCCTTATGCTATGGATTCCCTAAGCATTAAATGGAAATGACATTTACTTTCCACTGAGAGATGCTAATATTTAAATATTGCTTGAAGATCCTTAGATAAAGAGAGCTATACATGTGCACATTTTTATGCTTCTTCCTGCTTTCCTACAGCTTCAAGATATAGTAATATACTGAAATGCTGAAATTTTCTTACAAAACAAAATTGTACTTGGAAATGTCAGGCCTGCACAGACCAATGACCCAGAAGCTGCTGAAAATAGTGCATCAGAAGATGTAACCTAGCCTCTCCAGGTACCTAATTCTGTGACAAAGCTAATTGCTTACCAGCCATGACCATTTCCCCCATGTACCAAGAACTATAACAAGTATATAAATGATGCCAGAAACAGTCCTTAAGGGGTGGTTTGGATGCATTCACCTTCACTTGGAGAGCGGTGGTGGCAGAGATGAAGAATGCTCATCTGTGTGGACATGAGCCATGCTCTGCCACTTGGCAGGCTCGCTGCATTTGGTAATAAAGTCACAGCCTGTGAAACTCCCCTATGTGTTCAGATTTTTGTCCTCAAGCTTACAGGGGTAATGCTCTGAAGGGTCTGACTTAACATCTTCACTAGCACTGGAGATCTCTGGAAGCATTTCTTAGGAAGATTACAGGAAGAAATTTTACTCCTTTGTTTTGCATGGAGACCCTGAACATTACAGAGACAGAGATTTTTAGCTGAGCCAGCCTGATCATAGCTGGCATATCAAAGTATTTAGTACATAACTGACTATAAAGCTAATTGCAATATATAAAGTATATATAAGGTTCACTGAAATTAAATTTTCATTGATCCTGCGAGAGTTTGTATTATGTTACTGCTATGTCAGCACAAAATTCAACGAAATCACTCCCAACATAGAACAGATTCAAAGAATTCAAGCCTTCTCTCTTCATGCAGTATGTGTGAGCAGACAGTGATTCCTTTGAGTCTGCATACTGTCACTTATTGACTACTTTCCCCCTACCTCATCCTATGGATGGAAGGCAAATGCAATAGCCTTAATGAAGCATATTCTTAAGACGCAAGGGTTCACATTCATTATGGCAACCACAGAGAAGAAATTCCATCACAGTAACTGTAAAATTTTGTTACATGCCTCTAACACAAATCATTAGAAACTGAGCTGAGGAATAGGTTCAGAATGAAAAAGGATCATGAGATTAGCCCACATCTTCTAAAAATCAGACTGCAGATACAATACTTTTTAAATGTTTGGTTGTTTTTCACATTTCACACACATCCTGATTTAGGAATCAATACCAGAGTGAAACACAAACACTGCAAAGGCACAATACATACATTAACTTACTAATTCTGACCCTCATAGAAACACAGTACCAGAAACATCTCTAGAGACCTCACTGTTGTAGCCCAAGAGATAGATTAGTAGTGGGATAAGCATCTAAGCTTTTGGGTACTAGTAGGGGTCTTTTCACTGAAACATCGAATTTTCTTGTACATCCCCTTCAGGTTTCCCATCAGTGTCCCAATTTACTTTTTTCTTTAAGAAACAGCTTCTGTAACAAGAAGGGTTGAACTATGCTGTCCCTTTATAACAAACGATTCAACTCTTTCCTCATTTTCCTGCTAATGAAGTTTAGCCTATCTCATTAATGTTTTCCAAATGAAACAAGAACAATTCAAATTAGAGCAGCGCAAAGTATTTTTAACGATGTTTCTAGGAAAGTGAGTAATCCTGTGTCTCCGAGGAAATGAATGCCTGTGTAAGAAATGGACTGGATTGCAAGCACAAGATGTTTCCCTTCATGGAAAATTAAATTAAAAGAAGGTTCCAGAGCTGAGAGAGACCTTCCCTTAGGACCAGCTCCTCCTTCTCCAAACCCTTACCTTTGTGAGAAGACATCTCGGTAGGGGCTGCCGTGCTGCAGTGCGATCCCATATCCTCTGTCTGCCACAGTGTTCCCGACCGTGTAAAAAGAGCAGTCTGCGTCATTGATGGCCACATACTCCAGTACCGCTGCATCCCATACAAAGGCATAGTTCCCGTGTTTCACCTGTGGTCAACAGAGGAAGAGCTCAGACTATGGACAGTCCAGTCCAAAAGGAGGTTGGTATACCTAAAAATGTGGCAGTTTCTGCACTCTCTCTTCTTTAAAAGAAGTGAAGTTTGGGTGCCCAACAGCCTTCAACACAAAAAGCGTGCTGTGACTGCTGCTATGCAGTGCTTTGGCCAAGCACCTCTGCAGGAGTGGAAGAAACATGATCTGAAACCAACGTGGTGTCAGTGAAACAGCGCTGTGCAGGAGAGCTGTGCTGTCTCTCTTCAAGAAACAAAGGAAACATCAGGCTCCTTCCATCAATGCTAAATTCCACCCCAAATCTCCCACAAAGCTTTTTTCTTTCAGCTGTAAACCCAGCCATTTAGAGGAAGGTGGATATTGACATTGGGAGAACAGTGGGACAGTAAGCATGGCTATCCAGATGTAAGACCACCACTGAAGATGGTCCACATTTCAGTCATGCTTCAGGTTGCCATAGGTGTCATGAATTTGTTTTTGGGCTCTGTGTATGATTGTGGCCAAGATCACGCCAGCTAGATGTTTTGCAATTATTTTTCTCATCATGAAGGGTTTTCATATATTTTCAAGGACTTTTTGTACAGCAAGTTCATGTAAGTCATTGTAACTTTCACTGAGATATACACACAAACCAACTCATTATACTGAAAAGCTTTTAAAGTAACATTGTGCTACCCATTCACATTCGAAACAAATCCAGATTTTTCTTTTCATTTAAATATGTGGGATGTATTTCAGCATAATATAATTTCAGCATTTATTCAGAAGCAAGCTTTTTAAAAATCAGTCTAAACAAATCCTTCTTATTTCAGTGGGTATTTACTTTCCAGTCAAATCATGTTTTTTCTGAAAAAAATAACAATCTCTACCTGCTCTACCAGATCTTCGACAGTTTTCTGTTCTGTTGGTGTCTATGTCAGACCTGAAGAACCACACTGCTTTTTTCCTGACCCTCTGCTTGGCTTCACTCAGTGCTTTCCTAATGCCATATTAGCCAGCTAAGCTGTAAAACTAGGCTGAACCCATTGACTTTGTACATCTAAAGGGAATAAATATGTGACAGTTAAGTGAAAAGTAAACAAAATGCAAAAAGGCCATCTGGGGCCAGGCAATCCAGAGAGAATTCAAAACCAACTCAGCATATCAAAATAAGCAATGTCAGTACATCATTTAGGTTAGGCTTCGACAGTGTAGATTATGTTTTTAAAGACTGTTTACATATAAAAGTTACTGAAGCAAGGCACACCGGCTGCTTGCTCACAAGATGTAGTGCACAAGGAACAAATTGCATTTGGGACACATTCCTTTTCACTGCAGGCCTGGGAATGGAGTATTTCCTATTTCCATTCATAGGCATGATACAGGGAGGATTTGTGCAGATTTTGGAGCAAAAAGGGAGCAATATTATCTGTGGACTCCACAGGACCGGCAAGATAAAGAAGATTCTTTTCAAAATACACACACACCAGTGCAGGATTGGGTCAGTTTAATCTTCTGGGTCTGAAAATGGTCAATAGTTTTCTTTATTTTTGGCCTCCCAGTGAAGGTTTAGGTCTGTCTAAAAAGCCAGGGAATAAGGGATGGACGTGAACTTGCTGTTAAGAAACAATACAGCTTGTCTGCTTGTCTTACAGGCACTGAAACTCACAGAGCTCTTCCTAGCTTAGGTTATTCTGATCTTCCTACAGGCACCACTTGGCTAAAGAAATAGATAACACAACTAAGAAAAAAACCCCTTCCTAGGAGCATTGAAAAGGATAATGACTCAGCCTGAAAAAGAATCATGATGTGCAGACAGCAAGGGAGGGAAATAAGAGACAAAAGCTCAGAAAAAGATGAGAAGGGGGGAAATGAATCCTGAGGAGGATCAGATGGACTTTGCAAACAAAGGAATTAAGGAAAAGTGGGGTTCAAAAGACAAGTAATTTCACATGCAGGGAGATAACCTTTGAGGTGATGGCAAGAGTGGAGGGTTATGTTTTGACACCTGCTTTTGTCCTAACCCACCCTTTTAGTATCCTAGGGCACTGCATTCACCTAAGTAAAGAGACTTATCAGCTCCTCAGCTGGTCACGAGAAATTCTCTTAATTTGGCTGCCTGGCTGTGTAACAATTCACAGTGAAAATATATAAAAGCAGTAAAAGCATTTACTGCCAATAATATCTGTGATGAAGTCGTATATATAAGAGCCTTAGAGCAGACCTGATAACATCACAGTTCAGGTTCCCACAAAGATACTGTGTTTCATAGATAAGATCACAGTGAGCTTCTGTTAAAGCCTGTGGGGCAGGAAAGAGATTGAAGAGCCAGAAGGGATCATCCCAGCCATCTACATTTGTCACGTGATTGCTCCATGCAGTAAAATACATCCTTTTAAGCATTTCTGCCCTATCCATTTACAAGCCTAGGGAATTCAAATCCATGGAGCAAACCTAAGTTGCAACCGTTGTGCTTGCAATCACTCTTTTCATGGAACTGCTCCTCAGCCTGACAGTTTTCATAGCTGTTCAGTGTATTTATTTGTACTACTTTTTATAAAAAATAACTTTCTTCTGTCATTTCTAGTTATTTTTCCCTTTTCACTTCTAAACACTCCCACTTTGGGGCTGACACTTTACAATTCCTGATGAACCTTTCTGTTACTTAGCTGAGCTGGATACAGCTTTCTTTAATCTTTCCTTCCAAATCTCTCATTTCAGTCCTCCCATTAGCAGTGACATTAATTTTGAACTGCCTCCAATTCTTAATTTTTATATATGAGAGAAACACCTGTCTTGCTAAGAGAGAATTAGTTATCTGGCAGCTCAAGAGGGCACATGATTCCCTTTTTAGCATACCCTTCTTCTGAGATTCATAGCCTAAACTGTCTGCCCATGGATCTTTCATGCAGCTTAAGACTGGTTTTAGCCTAAAGATCTAAGAATAAAATTTTGCTAGAGTATAGCATACTCAGAATGCTGCTGACATTTCACAGATTTGCACCTACAACTATGGGATAACTACACTATCAAAAGGGGGATGATGCTCTGTGGGAAAGGAGAAGGGAATTTCAGAACAAAATATCAAAACCCCGTATCCTTCCCTCTCTTCCTCTTACTACGAGAAGCATGTATTTCGTAGCATTGCAGTAGCTATGAGAAGACTTCCACTTCGGGCCTCAAAATGAGCAGCAGAAAGTCTAGCTCTGCATTATGAGAAAGTTAAGGAGCTTACAGTCAGTCAATTATGGGGACTAAATGAAAGCAAAAGCTCCTTGGAAAAAGAAACGGTTCTTTGTAATACATATCTTACTACTTGCAGAAGATCCGCATCCCTGATTCTACATTTCCACATAGCAGATTTGCATTTTGTGTTGAGATAACAACATTCCAGGATGGTGACAAATCTGCATGCTATTCACATACCACTGCGCAGCCCAGGATCACCAGGGAAGTGTTTGTAGGAGGGCAGTGTATTATCCTTTAGCAGCAACCCCAGCTTTCCAGTCCATCAGGGCATGGACAGCTGACACTTCAGCCTCCTTCCCTGTGGCATCCTGCCTGTCAGTATGACAGAGGCTAAAAAGGTTTTTGGAGTATCTGATGACTGTAGTCATAGGAAAATGAAAAAAATCCATTAAAAAACCTACAGGCAAAATTGAACCTGTTGGTTGTTCATCAGGGTATTTTGAACTCATGTGCTACACTGGTCGTTAAGTAAAACTGGGAGGTATGGTACTAGGCAGAAATGCTTGACTTCACAGTTTTGTGAGCAACTGCAAAGGAGTTATTGTCAAAAGAGTTGTTACAGAGAATAAGGGCCATCAGCACGTAGATGGTCAAACTATTTTTATAATGTTGTTATATTTCTATTTTCTATCACTGCACATTTATGAGATTTTTATTTGCTGAAGCCCTGCTTGTATATATTAGTCAAAATGATGACTCCACCAAAACCCAGTTGAGTTATACCAGGAAATCACTTAAAGACATTACACTGTTGCATATGCACACATTTTATGCCAACACAGACGTGGATACTATTTCTTCTTACAGCTAACCCATTCATGCAGTAGAGTAGGCTGAATAACGTACTTAAGTACAACTCCAGCATCCAAAAAACACATTTCTGGGTCTAGAAAATTATAAACTTCAGAAAAAAATAACTGTAAGTAAACAACAATTAACTACTGCAATTTTTCATACTTGAAATTTTGGACAATATCTTTTCTGTATTTTAAATTCCTCTTTAAATGAAATACGAATAATCCTCATGAAAGAAAAAATGTACACAATAGGCTGCAGGTTAACCAAAGTTGTCTCTTTTTTTTTTCCTTGCGATGTCTCAAATATCTAATCATCCATAAAATGTGTTACCTGTTATAAAAACAATGCAAATTTTAAGACCAGGGAAATCTTAAGTTTCAACTGGTTAAAATGATATTAATTTCCTGGGATAAAATTATTAACAATGCTGATGAAGCACACTTTCTGAATACCCTGTGCCTACACTCAGGTGGCAGGGTGGTGATGCTTTTTTCTACTCATTTCCACCAGAGTCAGGCGCCATCCTTCCCATCTGTCTGCTGTACACCTCTCCCTGCCTACAAAGTTGTCAGTTGCATTTTAGCTAAGAACACATGAACAGAAACAGACTCTTCCGCAGCATAGCAGCAGCAACCCCAGCTCTGACCTAAAACCTGTCAAAGACACTGATTAATCACCTGCTACAGACAGCACTTTGGGGTTTATGTTCTCCAGTATGGACCATGCCACTGCAGCGACTACACAGGGGAAACACACCATCTGATGCTGCTAGCCCTATGCCTATCAGTGTGGACCTGAGACTTTGGCATGTATAAATACAGAAACTATATTTCTGACATAATCTTTGTGCATTCAACAAGCATGGAGTAGCTGCAGCCTGCAGAGGGCTGTACTCCATTCTACAAAACAGCCTCGCCAAGACTGCTATTACATGTGGAATGAAGAAGAGG